CAGTTAAGTGGGCACCAGGTCTTTGAGAATCTTCTCTTGAGACAGCCCTCTTTGGTTCCACAACTCTCCCATCCACCTTGTGTGGCCTTGCGTTCATGGCTGCATCCACCTCCTCCACAGTGGCATACTGACAAACCCAAAGCCTCTGGAGCACTTGGTGTTTGGATCTCTCATTACCACACAGTCCATAAGCGTTCCCCATTGCTCAAAATGGCTCCTCAGACTCTCATCGGTTGTTTCAAAGCTCAAACCTCCGATGAAGAGCTTCCGCAGCTGTTCAGGCTCTTTGGGAGACTCTGACTTAGACATGACGGCGGTGGGAGGGGAGACTTTAACGATGCTTACTCGGCGGCGTCCACGGGCAGAAAGCGCACTTAAATTTTTTTTAAGATGTTAAATCTCATAGTAAGTGTTCTTAACACACACACACACACACACACACACACACAGAGGGACACAAGGAAGCATTTCTACACAGTTGTCATGAGGGTTAAATTAGATAAGGTACACAAAGTGCAATGCTGGCAGACAACAAACATTTAATAAATAATAGTTAACCTTAGTATTATGGTTAAGCAATATTCTCCCCCTCCTCATATTTCCATAAAGAAGAGAAAATTAACACTTTACTTCTAGAGGAAGGCTTATGATAGGTTAGGGGAGAGCCTCTATCCTCTCTGTTTGCTCCTACCCACAGATGAAAGAGTGGCAAATTTTGTATTAGAAACATTAAATTCCTTATGTGTCCTGCCTACCTCCATCTTACTTTTCAGAGCCAGTTTGCCCACAGGGCATCAAATTGTGGATTCTCTCCATCACGCCTGCCTCTTGCTTGTTCTTGTCCAGCCATGCCAGTATCTAATTTAGAATGAAGTCTAGACGAGCTCATTTAACTGCAGGTCTTGAACCACAGTTCTGCAATCCGCTTTATCAGGAGTAAGTGTGATAATGTTATCGCCATCTGTCTAACTTTGCTCTCTCCATTTGCTTTGAAGTTGAACGTGAAAAATGATAGGGTGATTTATTTGCCCTCTAACTACCCCCCATGTTTTTGTTTTCCAAACCATTTTGCTGTGTCCTTCGGTGCTGTTAACTGCAGTTATCACTGTGGAATTTCTTTACATTTAGTCTCAGGCATTGCTTCTCCAGTTGCTAGCTGCTGCCTTGCCAGGCAATAGTCGTGGCCCCCGTTGGACTGCTTCCAAGAAGGCCTTGGCCCTGGTCCCATCACAGCTGCAGGCTGATGTGGGAGATGGTGCTGCCCTAGACACTTTGTTAGTGTTTGTTCTGCCCCATGCCCTGTTGCCGTCACAGAGATCTAGGCGCCTGCTGTGACCAGCATCAGAAGGCACAGGCCATGCTGCTTAAGAAGCAGTATCCTGTAGTCCCAGGCACCATATCTAGGTCCCAGAGCCCTCTTCTGCAACAGAAGTAAGACACTTTTCCAGATATTCAGGATATATGCTGAGTCTAATCTACCTACACTGCAAGAATGATTACTTTTCCATTCCCATATATTTCCCCCTGGTCGAATGTACAGATTTCCTCCTTTGAAGTGCTTCTATTACCGAGTATGAACACTTAATCCCTCCCTTTTAGGAATCTTCTCCTCTATAGTGAGAAAAACCCTCCTCTCAAGGTTTAGCTGACAGCTGTCGAAATGAATACCCGGTCAGAGATTGTGCAGCCAGAAGCAAAAGTATATTGTCAGTCATGCAGGAATTTCTTGGCCCGTGTTTTGTGCAAACAGCTGCTGCATTTTCAGTTTTGAACTTGGCAGACCTCATTTTAAATACGTATTGCCAAAAATTATGGCTCATTTACTTATTTTCCCTTCTCCCAATTGGAAAACGAGAAGGGGTCAAATAGAGAGCTAAAATGGGGTCAATATGGAGTTGAACTTCTAGCAAATGACACTGTTTACTTATCAGCATCAGATGCTTCTGGAGTACTCATGTGGCCAGTTCTATTTATGTTTGTATATATATATTATGTATGTAAGTATGCATTTATGTAGCAAATCAGCCATAGGTTTTAACAGAGAAGACAAGCATGAAATTAATGGTTTGTGTTGGTTTACTAATTCCTGGGGAGATTTCTGGTCTAGTAAAATATACAATCCCTTCCCACTTTGCAATGGTATTTACTTCCTTTCCTAAAATGACTCATATTAGGTATCCTTACAATTAATCCCACCAGTTGATTTGTATGTGTTAGCCAAAAAAAAAAAAAAAAAAAGTAGAACATTTATGATGCATGGGACTCAAAAATGCCCATTCTCTTTCACTGCCATTCAGTTTTTGTTAACTGTAATTGCTGTGGACACAGTTCTGGTGGTCTGTGTTACTGAACCTCCTTTCCTTGCAACAGTCTCTCCCTTCCAGTGCACTTTCCATATTACCACTGGTGATCGAGATAAAAATGTAAATCTGCCATGTCACACTCACCTGTGTTCAAATTTGCTGGTTCCCGATTTCCTACGTAATAAATCTACTCTTTATCCTAGCACAAAAGGAAGGCCCTTCAATATCTAAGGTAAAACTTTCTAGCCTGCTACCCTGGAGCTCCTCTTTCTTGCCTCCTCCCTAATTCTTCCTCATCCATTCCTCCCCTGGTACCCAGAATTCTAATTAAATGCTCTTTTTGGAACAAAGCTTGCATTTCCATGCCTCTGAGAATTTCCTCATGATATTTGCATCGGATATTACCTCTGGGTTCCTTTCTCTCCCTTGTCTGCTTGGAGAATTCATACTCATCCTTCAGGACCCAGCACAGATGATATCTCATTATGAAGCCCTCAAGTTAATTGTACAATGATTCTCAGTTTTCATGTTTGTCTAACTAACTAGTTGTGAGCTCTTCAAGGGGGAGATAGTAATTTATTTATCAGCTTCGCTCCTAAGACTTATGCCCTTGAATTGGAGTGGGAGGAGGGAGAAGAAAACAGAGGTCTAGCTTCTGACACAAAGGCCTGCAAAGGCAGTGCTCCCTTTTTTCCTTTGTTATCACAAGAGGTCTAAATTGTTGCCTAAAAGCCCAGTGTGGGTGAGTGGTGGCCTCCATGGTCCCCACTGCTGAGGCATTCAGACCTAAGCAGCTCCCTCAGGTATGCTGGCTCCTGAGAGATTCTGCCTCATCTACTGGTGATGTCATGCTCAGGCTCCTTTCCTCTGGAGCTAAGCTCTGGTCTGCATGACATGGTCCCTGACCAGCCTGGAAGTCCTAGCGTTCTCTTCCCTCAATGGCTTAGTTGTATGGACTGAAGGCACTGTCTGCTTTACTCTGAAGAGCTGGGATTCCACGCAGCTTCCTGGCCTTGCTTCTCCTGGGCTGATCTCCCAGGCCCTTTCTCCTCAGTACTAATAAATTAATTCTGTTTACTGTCAGAACAATCCTATGCAGTATATACTGTTACTATCCTAATTTTATAGAAGAGGAAACTGGCACAGAGAAAAGTCAAAGAGCCATGATTCAAACCCAAGCCATCTGGCACCCGAGTCCACGCTCCTAACCAGTGTACTTTGGAGTCTTATACATTAAACTTCATGCTCAAATCAGGAGATCATTTGTTTGCCTACAACAGGACAGTTTATATATATATATATATATATATAGATGTATATATATGTATGTATATATATAGATGTATATATATAATAATCTATATGAAATATATATATTTGTTGAATTGTTGAATCCTCCCACAACATGTGAAAAAGGGTTAGAATGGTGATTCGAATCCTGGTTTTATTATTCTAAAATAAATTATCTTTTCACTTAATACACTAACTGCTTTTGTAGTTTGGATGTCAAAAATAGTTTTTGAAGATTTATTTTGAAAGGAATGGTAACTCTTCCCCATTTTTACAAAAGTATCCATAACAAGGGGGAACATAATAAGGATGAATAATTTTAGGCCTTGAAAGGATTTCTTGTGCACTGGCATTTTGTCTTTTTTTCAGCCCATAGTACTAAATGGGCTGACTTAAAAAAAAAAAAGACAGAGTGAAAGCATCAGATTTTTTATTCCAGTGACTCAATCCCCATTGTATGAAGTAGAGCAAAATGAATAAGTAGAACTTTGTACATTCAGCACCTCAATTATTAAATGTATCCATAGAAGCCTGCTCTGTCAAATTTGCTATGGAGGTATGAACATTTATCTGTTTGTGCTCTGTCGTCATAACTGGTTTTTGCTTTTTAAACAGATCATCAAATTAGCACATTAAAGTGACATCCCTGTTTCTCATAGAACATTTGAATTATGTACTACAGTGTGTGTTTTCATCATTTATTTTAATCATGTTTTTCACTCAGCAGGTTAAAATGAAAGTTATTGAAATCAGAAAGTATAGTATCAAATCACTGTAATTGTTTCAGATAGATTACAGTTGTTAGCATCTAGAGAGCTGTTTTCATATATTTTTGTTCTTCTGTTTGTTTTGTGAGGCCCCCTTTAATTTTTTTTCTATTAAAAATGTGTTAGATTACAACATCAGTTGATGCTAGAATATTTTTTCTTTATTTTGTCTGGATACCATTTTCCCAGATTAACTGGCTTTCCTGGAAACTTTGACTCTGGCCACAACATGAAGAATAACAACTTCCCTTTCTCCATTTCCAGAGGAGATTGTAGTGCACTCATGGAGAGCGGAGGAAAGGACCTGACTTTCAGCGTAACTGGCTTTGTCCCTGTGAATGAATGTTTCCCTAGCATTGGAAAGGTGGTGGCAAGACACCAGAACCACACATCCCTGAAAAGACCTAACACATGAAAGATAATCTTAGTTTCTGCTGTGACTTATAAGCCCAGGTAAAACACTTCTTTGAGTTCTCTGGCACATTTGCAACCGATGGCTTTCCTTGAATGAATACAGTGGCAGTGGATTCATTGGCCAGGTTCATTGCTTATCTATAGCAGAAAGTTATCTAGGTTGTGTATCACCTATGACCTCAGGGATGTCAGCCAGTTATCCTGTGGTCCATTCAGCCTGGTCATTGTCCCTTGTCAGTGAGGCAGTCATAGAGTTCCATCTGGACAAATATAGAAGTTATTTTCACCTTGACTTCTGTATTTTTTAAAAAACTTTCAAGGATAAAGAGAAGTTGTATTGGCTTTGAAGAGACATATCTGGTGTTTGGATGGAGGCCAGATACTTCTTCTCTTGAGTTTTTAGATCACTGTACAAGTTTCAGTGTTTTATAATTAGTATGCATTTGATAAAAGTGACTTATGTAAAGTTTTGGGGAGAATCTTTTGTTTAGGTACAGCAGAGTATTTTCAGCTCAGTACTACAGATGATATATTGAATGTAAGGGAAGTTAAGTTTTTGATTCAAGGTTGCTAGTAATTCTTGGTAGATTTGGAGTAGAACTAACATCCTTTGGCCTTTTGATAGGTACTCTTTCCGTTATATCACACTTTTTTAGGATGTTTAATGCATCTCAAAATTAAACTATTATTTGAATCTGCCTAAACTAAAGACAACTACTTGTTCTCTAATATCCATTATCCCCATATCTAATATTAGAACCCCTAATTTTAACTTGGCACATGGCCACTTGGAATAAAGACTACCTGTCCCAGCCTCCCTTTCATTATAGGTAGTTCTGTGACTAAATACTCTCCAATGGGGAAGAAATGATGTGTACAGCTGCTTGGTCACCCCTTATAGGAAAAGTCTTAACCTTATATTTCCCTTTTCCCTTTCCCACTCATAAGAGTAATGATGTGGATGCTGTTGATAAGGGTAAAATCCTAAAGATAGAGAAGTTAGTAGGAACTTGGGTCCCTGATACTATGGAACCATCCTGCCAGCCTATTTGCTTAGGACTAGACTTTTATGCAAGAGAGATAAACATTTACCTTGTTTTAATCACGATAATTTAGATCTCAGTTACAGCAACTTAACATACCGTACAATTTAATGATTTGCAAATTTAATGCCGCAAATTAATATTTTATAACCACCAAATTTAAACACAATATATTGGACATTAATACTTATGTAAATATCTGGGAATCTTGGAATTAAACTGCTGTTATCAGTTCTTCTGTTTCTAGAGTCCTTACAAGAGTGTGTACAGTGTGGACTCTGATGTCTCTTTAGTATTTCCTACTGCTCTCCTCTCAGTCAGCCCAACCATAACTTTTTGCTCTTCCTAACATTCCAGACATGCTACGTCTTCCTTCCTAGGGGTATATGTTGTTTTGTTGTTGCTGTTAGTTTTTGGGTTTTATCCCTCTTCTGCAAATCTCTTTGTCTAGCCATCTAACATATCTCTGTTTCTACAGTCTTAGAATTTTGCTCAGTTTTTACCTTTCCATTAAATCCTTCCTTGACCACCTCAATAAATTTTATTCTCCATTGCCTTGGTACTCACATCCCCTTTGTACACTTAATTTTTCTCCCTATAATTTATTTCTTTTTTTTCCCCTCCTCACTGAAATACTAGCTCTATGAGAGCAGAGACTTTCCCTGTTCAACCCGTTGCTGTGTTCCCAGCACACTGTCTGGCACCCAGAAATCACTGGATGAATACCTAATAAATAAAGGTATGAGTCAACCTTAAGTGTTTGGGTGGATATAAATGTTATGATCTCTTTAAGGTAATAATATTCTGGTAACTCATGTTGTTTTCTGAAATATCTATAAAAGGAATATGTTGGCTCTTCTAGAGGTAAAATCTCTTTCAGTGAAGCTGTGACTGATGAAAATTTCATAGACTGATAGGAAAGCTCATTCATTCACATGCAATATTGAATTTCCTTAACAGATTACTAATGTCTGATCTTGAAATTATTAGAAAAAAATCCTAAAATTGTGAGGTCTTTAGGAAATAGTTCGTCACATGCACTCTGCAATAAAATTACGTTTTAGTATTATACTTCTTATCTTCATTTTCCCAAAGTAAGAAATCTATGCTAAATTGGCTGTGAAAATAAAAGCAAATGCAGAACAAATAATCCTTTCTTGTAATGCACCAACCAACAGCTTAACACTATAGTGAGAATACTCTATTTGAGTTCCAGAACTGTCACATTAGTCTATTTTCATAAGTCAAGTTAAATCTAGCCTGAGGTTATACTAGAAATTCAGTATCAGGTATTTTTTTTTTTTTAGAGGGGTGGGTAGGGGCAGAAGGACAGAGAATCTTAATTAGGCTCCATGCCCAGCGCAAGCTGGACACGGGGCTCAATCTCACAACCCTGAGATCATGACCTGAGCTGAAATCAAGAGTCTCACCCTTAACCGACTGAGCCACCCAGGTGCCCCATCCACTATCAAGAATTTTTAAGATCCCTCCCTCCATTCAAGAACTTTGGGCTTATGTAGATCTGGAAAACTAGAAACAAGGCTCATTCCTCGCCTGCAGGCATTGCAATCCATACTACCACCATCATCAGATACAGTGTTCAGTTCCATTGCTGGTTTTCTGCTCCATCATGGGCTCTGCTGCTCTGCATGAGTTGGTGCTATTCCTCACAGCCATGCTCTCTGCTGACAAGGACCCAGTGTAGTTCTCTGGTCTCTATTGTCAAATGGTAGTGTTAAGTTTCCTTACACCATCAGCACCCATCACCTTTCCCCCAGGACCATTTGTTTTTATCCATAATAGGGACTTTCAAAATCTTGTCCTCTTTCTTATCTACAGGAGCTACTTCTTTTTTCCAGTATCCTCTATAATCTCTATGTGAGCTGTGAAATGCCATGTTATCACTACCTAAAGTCTTGAAAACTAAAGCCATTAATTTCAGCTCTAATTAGGATACAAGTGTAAGGAGTTTAAGACTTTTAAGGAGATATTTTAGTGTCAGGAAAAATTGTGAAAGATTTTGAAATGGGCAAACAAGATTACGAATTGCTCTATCTAGTGCACCCTTTCCAGCTATCTCTGTCTTTTGTTTTCTCTGAACTATGTTACAAAGCTATTTTCAGAAAACTAGTAAGAATGCAAGTAATTTCTGTCCATGTAAATTCAAATGAAAATGTGTCAGGTTGAATGTAATTGATTATTGCCGTATAGATACAGACTAGTTTTACATCTGTTTGTAAATTCATTTCAGATTTCTGATTGCCTATATATGGGAGTGCTTTCAATTCCTTTTTGAGAGAATTGTAATATTTTACTGGTTTTCTAATTTACTGATGACTTAAATATAGTATTTGACATGCATTAGTTTTGTTTGCAAACCATGATTTTATCTTTTAAAAATTATCCTTTTACATTAAAGGCATAATGGTGACCTCTTCTTATGAAGGGGCTATGTAAAGGAAATGCATATATATTCTTTCTTAGTGCATCCAGTGTAGCCTAAAACAAAACAGAACAAAATAAACATTAACAACAGGGATACCTGGGTGGCTCAGTCAGTTAAACGTCTGCCTTTGGCTCAGGTCATGATCCCAGGACCCTGGGATCCAGTCCCACGATGGTCTCTTTGCTCAGTGCAGAGTCTGCTTCTCCCTCTGCCTGCCACTCCCCCTGCTTGTGCTCTCTCACTCTCTCTCTCTGACAAATAAAATCTTAAAAAAATAAATAAATAAACATTAACAACAAAGAAGGACATTAATCAGATTTTCCAGCTCCTCATTATCTAGTCTTTTTATGTCAGAATTCTGAGCTTTTGTAATGCTCACAAAAACAGCTGAAGTGTGCTATAGATATATATGATATTCATAAAGAAAGAACATCTTTGTCTTACTGATCCTTTCCACATACTAAGAAAAGTTTAAAATTGATATATATATGGAGAAAAAAATAGCAATGTTTAATAAAACTTTAAAAAAACTACAATTAATTTGAATTATATTAAAAGAGAATGTGTGGGATTTCATTCTAGGTCTGAGCTAAATTTGACTTTTGTATACAAAAATTAACATATTTAACATATCTTTTTTTTAAAGAAAAAAATTTAAGTATATTAATGTAAAAATGATTTCAGGACCTATATCCACACCATTAGGAATAGGATGGTGATTGCTGTCCTCAGAAATCTCAGTTTATTATGTTTGTATGTAAAAACCCTGTTAATTGTATCCTATATCATCCTTATCTGTGGGTGAAATGTTTCCAAAGCCAAGACAGGTAATTGGTTTAACTTTAAGGAAAGTTAGTATTGAGAAATTATATGTAGCTCTCGGCAGATGTATCCAAAATTTCTTTATTTTCCACCTACCTTCCTCAAATTATTCTATGATAGAAAAAATTTAAGATAGTTTTCATTTTTTCCATTGTTATTTAAAAGGCCTCTGGGTAAGCAGTAAAAGCTATAACTGATTTTTAATACTTCATTTCCATTTGATTTTTCCCTGACCATCATCCTGGAAAGATTCTGTTGATTATTAAAATAGATCAGTATTGAAGATGTTTCAAAAAAAAAAAAGACCAAAAATACTAAAAAATGAAAATACTAATAATCTAGAGCCTACAAATTTTATAAATGATCAAAAGCTGACCAAAGATACAATAGAGAACCATGTTTAATCATTTGGTTGAGAGGGAAATAAAAGGAATTAAGTTGAAATCACACACTCAGGGGAGTCTGGGTGGCTCAGTCAATTAAGTGGCTGCCTTTGGCCCAGGTCATGATCTCAGGGTCCTGGGATCAAGCCCTGCTTGATCCCTCTCCCTCTGCCTGCCACTCCCCCTGCTTGTACTCTCTCTTTCTGTGTGTCAAATAAATAAATCTTAAAAAAAAAAAAAAAAAGAAATCACACACTCAAAGTAACTCTTATGATAAGCAGCATGATTAAGAGACTTTCTGAATGGATAGAAATATAATTATATTAAGACCTGCAGTAA